AAGCTATTTTGATATTTACTTTTTTTTAATCTAGATAAGGTTCTAATTCTTATTTATTAGTAATTCATTAAATATATTTCAATTTATGGTTTGAGTTATAGTGAAACCTTCAAATTGTATGATTTGTAAACATTTATTAATATTAATTTTTCAAATTAATATACTATTGTATGATCTTTCAAATATCAGTTTAATTTTTTTCAATATAATTTGAAATAATTTGATATTTTTCAGTCTAAAAATGTCCATATCTTTCCAAAAAAGATAAGATATGACATATCATATAACATTGACAAGATCAAATTACATAAAGATGTGGAGTAAAAAACAAGAATAATACTGTCATGAATAAATTACAAGAGATGATACTTAGGATTCATACATCTCTTACATTATAATGAGGATTGCTATAAACTACTATAATGTAAAATAAAATCATTAAGCACTTTGTTTAATTTATAGGAGTTTGTAATTTTTTAATTAAAAGTGTCGAGTCCAAATCCTAAAACTATAACCATGTTAAATATTTGGTAAGGCAATTTTGTTTTTGTTTACAGTTCTAACAAACTCAATATTAATAAGTTAGTAATATTGTTATACACCATTCTATATAAATATTTGCCTTGCGCTCATTATATTCTTCATATGTTTATTCTCTCAAGATTAGTAAAATTCAATTTTGTCTCTAAAATTTATTCTTCTACAGTAGGATTAATAATATTCAGTTAATTTGAGATAGTCACAATCAACTAATAAGTGAAAAAATAATTTTAATTTTTTCACACTTAGGTCAATCAAGTGCATAGATTGAATTAGTATAGTTCACCAATGCCTCCAGGATTTCACTATGTCCTTTTACCAGAGTTTCATTTGTTTCTTTCTTACATAAAGTAGTTTTTACCTCATGAAAAAAATAAAATGACTACTTTGTATAAGACTAAAGTTATAAAATTTTTAATTACATGGTACCTTGGAGGAAAAGAAATTAACTTTTCTCACTGAATAGTCTACGGAAAGTATTCTGTTGGTAATTTCCATTGGAAATCTGTTGAAAATTCTGTGCGTAGATATTTCAACAGAATTTGCCACGGATTTCCAATGGAAATTATCGATGGAATTTTTTTGTGGCTAATTTCGTCAGAAAATGAAGTTATCGACAGACTTACTAACGGAAAAATTTCATAAAAAATCCATAGCAAATTCTATCAGTGATTTTTTTTATGGAATTTGCCATGAATTTATGATGGAGTTTTGCAATAGAAATTATTTTGTCGATAAGTCAGTCAGTGATTTGGTGTTCTTTTTTGTAGTGAAGCATTCTATACTACTACAAGCTTCTTTGCCTATTTTTTCCCTAGGGACAACTCCTTAGGTATTTGTTCAGTTCCTCAAATTATCCATAATATTTTAAATATTTTCCATTTTCTTTAAAATTTTTTGAAATTTTGAGCATATTTTTCAAAATGATCCTTTATGATCTTAAACTTTTCAAAATTATGTTTTTGCCTCAATTGGGGGTTAAACTTATATGATGTCTCATTTGTAACACCTCCTTTGTTACCACATTGTACATCAATTAGAACCATTATAACCCATTTCCCAATGTCTCCTGATGAAAAATTTTAATTTTAAAATCTCACATTTTATTCTGTCAATACACTATTCATCTGAATTTAGGTTAATTTTGAAAATCCATAACTAATTCTAGAAAAATTAAAACAGGATGGTTCTAATTTTCACACAAAGCTTGCTAAGAGTTCTATAGAGGAAAAATATTCATTAGACTCAATTCCACCCAAAACAACACCAGAAAATTTGACAATGTACACTGTTCATATGATCAATTTTTGATTTTCTAGGATTTTAGCCCAACTTTGAAAAGGTATAACTCTTAGCACAAAACTCCAAATTTAATGGTTTATCACTTTTTTTAAAGCTAAAAATGAGATCTATTTGCCTACAAAATCTCAGGTCCAGATTCCATCGTTTTCTTATTATTTTATGTGTCACAAGATTAGCCTCTTTTATGGTATTATTGTCCCCTAATTCCATCCTTCTTGAATTTCTTTCCCGTTTTCCTCTTTCCACATCCTTTTTACATTGCACCATCCAATATTCCAGCACTTTATAAGTCATACCAATATAATTTACCACATATTATCATTCATAATCTATTACAAACTCAACATAAAGTGTGTTAGCAAATTACATAACATTCCAAATTAATGTAACATTCACAAAGCCCTTTCATCCTAGCACCAATTCCTTGTCTTGATCCATGGATGAGCCATTTCCTAAATGATAAATAAATTGATATAGGAGGAATGAGATTTCAAAGAAATCTAGTAGCCATTGAACTATAATTATCATGTAAATCAAGCAAGTTAAAATGTGACATGTCATAAATCTTCAAGACATCCTCAAGTCACATAAAATCATGCTTAGTTTCATGTTAGGAGAGGAACATCAACACTTCCACATTAACACAATTCAATGCATTTGGCAAACCAAGGTTAAACAACCAACCAAAATCACAACACAAATTCCTCAATCCAAGCAACACCAAATCACACTAAACAAGCAAAATAAACAGTCAAATTATAATTCAAAGCTACCTTTTATCACTTGATTAATTTGGTCTCCTCAAGGAACAACGATCCTCCTTGACTCCTCTTCACAAAGCCTATTAAATCAAGCATAGACATAAGCCACATCAATAGCCAAACCACTTAAACATAACACTTTATCTTTAACTTAACATTCCCCCCTTTTTCCTTTGATTTTTAACAAAATAATTCCTCTTTTAGAATCAATAACCTCATGACTCATTTCCACACAATTTTTCATGAGGAATCCAAATATAAAATCATATTTTTAAAAATCAAAATCCTTCCCTTTCAAGTTGAGTTAGCCGAATAGGCGGTTTAAGCTTCCAAAAATTTTATTTTTGATTCCAATGATTTTAAACACTTTCCAATAGTGTACCCCCACACAGAAACACATTTTAAACCCATTGGAGTCATCAAATCAATGAAAAATAATTTCCTACCCCATGAACAGTACCTGACTGAATTGAAGCTTAGGAATCCTAGGTTGGTTTTCTTCCAAAAATCAATCCATACACCACTTAATCTTGCTTATTCCACTTGATATTTAAGGTTTCTATCCTTCCCTAAGTATCACATGATCCACTGAAATTTGGCAGCATTTTTCTTAATTTTTCAAGCCAAAAACCCTTATTAACCAGGCTTGAAAATTAGGAATAGGGATGCTTAACTATACCTTGATGTTCTCTTGATAAAAATTGAGTGATTCCTTGCCTAAATACCTCAAGATTTTTGGTTGACTAGAGCTGGAACCAAAGTGACAGAACGTCCCGCTATTTTTTCTATTTTTTCAACATTTTTTTGTATTTTAGGAGGGGGTATTTATAGAAAATTTAATCTGTCCCCTCCTCCCCTTAATTGGTCGAATTTGGGACACCTAATGGGGGTTATGTGGCAGCTATTTACAGTAAAATAAATCAGATTAATCCAAGTGGCAATTCTAGACTTTTCCAAACATTTATCCCTTAATTTTGCATTTTATTCAATTAATGCTGTGGAGTGGGCAGCAAGCAACGAACTTGGACCCTTATTAGGCTCAATTTGGGCCCTAAAAATGGCTTGGGCTGGCCCCAAAAGATGGCCCACATCCCAAAACAAAATCTCAAACCAATTTGACACTTTATCGGTTACTATTCACTAGTAACATTTCAGAATTTTTTCATACCTCTAAAAAATTATTTATATTCATGATAATTCACCTTTTAATATAGTGACATGATCTAAAAATTTTCAGATTTTTTTGCCACCTCTAGGTATTTATTTTGAATTTTCTCCGATTAGGCCTTTATCGGTATCACTGCAGAAAAATAAATTTTCTAAAATTAATTCCTGAGCTTCCAAGGCCTAAAAATAATTTTATAAATTCAAATAAATATTTATATGATTTATTAATTTTTTCAAATTTATTGAGGCCTCTAACTAATTAAAATAATTATTTTTCTCTGATTTTTCAATAATTTCCTGAAAAACCTCAGTTTATAGGAAATTCTATAATAATTTATTTTCATAATAATTCTACCTTTCAGACCTCAACTGAGTTTTTAAAACCTTTACCTTAAATTTTTCTCATTGTTTAGAAATTTTTTAGAATTTTTTTCAAATTTTTTCGTTTTACCCTTCCTAAATTGATAATTACGAAAATGTCAGCCCGGACCTTATCGGGGTTTTACATCAAAACCTGTCTTGTTTTTATGTTGGCCCTCATCCCAATTTTTAATTCCATATGTCCAAGTGAAATTTTCTCGGGATGTGACATCATTTGTATTTTTTTTCCTATTTTATTTGGCCCTTATCCAAATTTTATTCTCATGTTTCACTCATGAAGGCCGAATGACAGAATTTGCCACGGAGTTTTGCAACAGAAATTATTCGGTCGATAAGTCATCAGTGATTTGGCATTTTCTTTTGTAGTGAAGCACTTTCTACTGCTACAGGCTTCCTTGCTTATTTTTTTTTCCCCTAGGGAAAATCCTCAGGTTTTTGTCCAGTTTTTAGTTTTCACCCATGGGATCCTCAAATTATTCATAATATTTTAAATATTTTCAATTTGTTTCCAAAATTTTTTGGAATTTTGAGCATATTTTTCAAAATGATCCGTCATGATCTTAAACCATTCAAAATTACTTTTTTGCCTCAATTGGGGATTAAACCTATATGATGTCTCATTTGTATTTTTTTTCTATTTTATTTGGCCCTTGTCCAAATTTTATTCTCATGTTTCACTCAGGAAGGCCGAATATCACAATAATCGTGTGAATGAACAATTTGCGAAAGTAACAAATTCTACACAATAACATGACATATTACAAAGATTGAAACGATGATACATTGAACACAGAACAACTAACATAATAAAAGAAGGCGCAAACTATATGTCGATACTTTAAATCTTATTTATATGATAGTTGGATTCAAGGATGCAAATTCAAGCAGTTCAAGGTTACTCTCCATTAAGGCCATATCTTGTTCGTTCAAAGTGACCCATGCTTCTATTCCTTTTCCATCACTCGTATCCATGAGAATAAAAGAATTCTTTATCTTCGTAGATGGAATACTTACCCATTTGGGTTTTCCCCACCCAAAATCTGCTTCATAAAACTCAAAACGGCACCAACTTGTACAACCATAGAAATCAATACCCTCTTTGTACAACAGTTCCATGTCCTTCAATCCCTCATACACAGTCATGAAAGCATTTACTTCTTGAAGTTTTTGGACATGAACCTTTGAGAAATGTTCTAGACCTTTCCTCAGATGAATTACTAGCCCTTGTAAGTTCATTTCACTGTCACTAGAAGAATTTTCTGGTTTTGCTATGAAGTGACCTACGAAGTTTCCTACACAGGTGTTAGGTAACGGTGGGCTTGTCCTTTTTCGAATGTCTACTATTTGGGATACCATAGAGGGTCTTTTGGTTATTCCTAAGTTTGTTCTAGATGCTGTTGTGGCACACTTCCAAATTAGTGCCAATACTGCCTCCACTCGTGTTGGATTCTCCACCGTTTTGCTTGCAGCTTCAGCCTTCAGTTTTGTTATCTTTGAGGAATCAAACACGTACCTGTATCATGCACTCAATTAGAAATTATTTTAATTTAATGAGAATGTGCGATCCAGGTTACTGAAGTCAATATTGTATTATATATAATTTTTGATCGAGGAAAAAAGGTAAGCTTTCCTACACAGATACAATTGGACTAGAAGGTAAATTTTTTGACGTAATTCTTTCATATACGCTACTGTGATAGTTGACCTCTACATTCTCAAGCTCAATCAAAGGTGGCTCTCAAACTTCATTTTTTTCCCATGGATGCTCAACTACACAGATTTTTCAGTTAATTATTTCACTGCTATATATTTTCTAGTATCTAAAAACAAGACACTTCACAGTTTTTAAAAGGAATTTTGGCCGTGGGTGTTGAAATTTTCTAAATGCAAATTTGTACTACTTTCCTGTGTAAACTCTATCAGAAACTTGCATGAATATTACCTTCTAGTAGTGTAATCGAAGTGCCTGAACTCAACAGGAGGAAGAACAGTCGGAAAATCAATGGAAGGGTGGTAAAGAGATCCTAGAATATACTTAGGAAGCATCGACTCAGTGATGCACCCAACAGCCGCAAAAGACCATGCCCTGATGAACGAACCAATCGTTGAAGCATCAGCAATCTTGTGAGAAAAGGACACACCAATAGCCAAACCTCGACAATCAAACAGATTCACCTGAACTTTCATTAGAAACCCACTTCCTAAATGGGCATCATCGACTGGCACAAACTGGTGTACAACGTCAGCATCAGGTTGTTTAAGGATGTCGGAGAGGAAGCTATGGACACGAGTCTCACAAAACTCGACACCTTCATCGTTACACTCAATCACTTTGTTGTCTTTGACTCTACCTGCCAGTGGGTAGAAGTGGGTTAGAGTCTCAGACAATGACTTCTTTAGGCTCTCAAACCTGTCGTGATTAGCAACACCATCGTTTTCAACATTGGGATAAGAAAATAGAATTCGAGTGTGCATTACAGGAGCAAGCTGGTCAATGAAAGACAGCTTAAAAGTTCTGAGGCTTTGTGGTGTTGGAGAAGATGGCTTTACGATTTGTTTGGACACAAACTCAACCTTCATCTTGTGGCTTGAAACTAGTTTGAATTTTCCTAAGGCTCAAAAACTCAAGGCTCTTCTGATTTTTTGGAGTCAGTGATCTCGAGGCTCAAATAATGCCTTTGCATGTACATTGATATAATTATATATATACCAGCAAGCTAGTGAGTTTAATGGATAAATATATCCTGAAACTGTTGGATTAGTAAGTCACAAGAGTACGCGCGAAAGGAATGAACTAATTTAAAAATGAGAAGTCAAATATATGGATACATGTGAAAGAATATAACAGGTAGGATTTTGATGAGAAGAATTAATATTATAGTCCAGCACACAGATTCTAAAGAGGTTCGGTGAATTGAAAATAGCTGAAGAAAAGTACAGCTCAGGCACGCGACTCGCGAGGTATATATCTCATGGCCAATCAGATTCAATCTTTCACGAGAAGTGTTGGCTTTGACTAACTAGAAGTGAGATTTCTAAGATGATTTGATGCCTTAGAATAGCGGAAAAGAATTATAGTTCATGTCACGACGTGGGTTAGCCAGATGAATAATTAGCTGTTGAAGATTGTCTATGATACATATAAGTATAATTAAATGCTTGCTCCACATTTTAACCAAAAAGAAAAGAGCGGAAAAAAGGAAAAAAATTGAGGAGAAACTTGCTTCGTGCTCATTAGTTCTTAACATGGTATTAAGATCCAACCCAAAAGCAATCATATTAGTAAACTAGTAAACAGGTCAATATAATTTTTAATCCTTCAAGTTTATTTTCATTTTGGTTTTAATTTCTCAGGTCTTAAACCATAGGTTTTGTTTTCTTAAGTTTATTTCCATTTAAAATATTAGTCATTATAATTTAATAAAAACTTGAACCATTTTATTCCTTAAAAGACTAAAACTTATGGTTTGAAACTCAAGGGACTAAAACCAAAATTGGTGCAAACTTGTGGAATCAAAGATTACATTAACCTTTTCGTATATTAACTAAATTATATTAATCAATTCATGATTAGTCATGTTAGATATGAATGAAAGAACTTTAAGAAGGAAAATGAGAGAGACTTTGTTGGTGATATGTTTAGTGCTCCTTATTTGACTTACCAATGATTTTCTCGTAGAAAAGAGGTGGGTCCTTTTTACTTGATCGAGTGAAAGAAATGTGCTTCTTATGAAAAACAAACAAAAATATATTATTAATTTTGCCCTAAGCTATAGAACTTTTTACTATTTTTTCATCTCAAAAACTAAAATGCTTTAATTTCCAATTTTTTGATACAACTTTGATTTTCAATTTTTACAGATAAGCATTATCTTATATAAATATTTAAATGTCATTTCTCTTAAAAATTATTAGCCTCCTATTTTATATTTAGTTAGTACGCTTGATTTTGAAAACTCCAATTGGGCATTTTATATTCATTTGGTCACTTCCTTTCCAAAATTCCAATGCAAGTAAACAAAAATCGTTGATTTCTTTCTACTTACCAAACACACACACACACACAGATATGTGTGTGTGTGTGTGTGTGTGTGTGTAGCCCAAAAAATAGTTGATTCATGCAGGAAAAGCCACCAAATGTATTGTCTCAACCTTTCTCAAAGTTTGTCGCAGTCAACTTTAATTTTTTTACACTATAATAATCAATTATGAGTGTTAACAAATTATACACACTTATTACTATTGAATACATACATGCATAAATGCATATATGAGTATTGAAAAACTAATATTAAATACTGAAAAATATTTCAAATAAATGAATACTGAAAAAAACTAAAGTCATCAGAAGGAGCGCATTTTTATCAGCTTAAAAAAATTTCAATTCCAACCAAGGATTCACTTGGTTCCTTGTAATTTCTGAACGTTGTAGTCTAATTAACGTTCTTAGAAGACATTTAGCGCAAGGGAGTCCAATGATGAGCGGGCAGGCTTTTGATGCGTTTTTTCTTTCTTTCTTTAACTAAGCATAGGTATTCTTTTATTGAAAGTAACCTATTTGAGATATTATTATGTACTAAATGTGGACACTTTTTCCCGCATAGATTCAAATATTAACTTGTTATATTATGAGAGACTGACCTTTCCGCTTGACTCAACTTATTGGTGCAGGCTTTTGATATTAAAAGAGGCTAATTAGCTAGCATATATTTCAATGTATTAATAGCCTCGGCCAATTTCTCATAAAACCCAAATGCATGTTGTACTGAGCTCAGAGAGAGAATGTGAAGGTCCAAATTCAAGATCTCAGCTTAAGTAGGGAGCCCAAATTCAATTTTTTGTTATTTTAATATTTTTGATTAAGGCCTTTCTAGTCAATGACCGAAGATCAAGTTTTGACTTAATTTCATAGGTAGATTACTGATTTATGCACGTAATTCCCTTCCCCCCCCCCTTTATGTGACAAGTGGTGCTCCCCAAATTTTTTCATTACAATGTATAACTCTCAGCATTTCACCAAGATTAAACCAATTAAGTAGAATTGAAGCAACGTAACAATATTTACTAATAATTGGAATTTTCAGTTAATACTCAACTTATAGAAACCCATTTCCAACAAGCACCCCAAAATCATCAATTTTCAATATTTCATATTACAATAAAGAAAGAAGAAAAAGAAATGCCCAAGCAAAATCACAATCAATTTCTGAATATCTCGTATTACAACCAAGAAAAACGGGGAAAAAAATAAATACCCAAGCAAGCTCGCAATCAATTTTTCAATATTTCAGCAAGCATTCAAACAATGTGGCATGAAGATCAAAATTGAACCAAATAGAGAATGAGATTTGAAATATGCATTTAAAATACTCAAACATCTGAAAAAAAAAAAATCGTGACCTATAACAACGAGAACAAGAACTGCTGAAGCATAGACACACCCACAAGAAAACAAACAGAGACGAGCCCACAGGTGAGGACAATCGAAAAATGAAGGGGGTGTTAGAGAGGATAAATGTGTCATTAGCTAACTAAAATAGAGTTCATATAAAAGGTCTAATGAGATGTGGGCTGTGTGTGTGGGAAGTGAGGGATTCGGTTAGAGGATTGTTGAATTTTTATTGATCATTATTGACACTTTATGGTCTTTATTCTCATTGCTTTATTGGGAGAATGGCCGGAAAATGAAAGAAAACAGTGGTGAAGAGTTGCTGGTGTGGGCACGTCTCTGGTGGCCGGTGAGGAGGTGCGAAGTGAAAAGTTCGCACTACTTAAAAATTTCTGAAGACTTATTGACATATTTATGACAATCTACATTTATTTTGGGTGTAACTGTTATAAATAACTTTAACCCCCTTTTTTCAAATTTTTTGATGCAAACTCAGTATCCTTAAATTACTTTGAACTTGATACTAGTCTTTTCAAGCTGAGAATGTTAAGTTTAAAGTCTTCTCCATAAATGCGCTTCCTAGAATCTGACCCAAGATCTAAAGTTGTATTCTTTTCTTTATAAAAATAAGACTGCTTGCCATCTCAACTAATAACTTGTTGGTATTTTCAATTTAAAATAACTTTTCTATGTCGGATTACAATTAACTTGCATATAATACTCTTACAATGTGGATTAGTTATGAAACAAATGTAGATTAGCCAATAACCTTACAAAATAATTACAAAATTGTCACTACCTTCTAAGGTTGGTTTTGAATCACTTAAAAAAACATGTGATTAGTGACAAAATTTAGTGACAGAATTTTTTATTCAGTGACAAAATTAGCGGCAAAACAATTCTTCTATCATTAATTGGATTAGCAACAGAATTTTTCTGTCACTACTCCATCACTAATTTATGACAAAAAATTTCTGTCCCTAATTAGCGATGGAAAAATTTGGTTGCTAATCCAATTTTTTTGAAAAAAATTAAAATGCCACATTGCACCTTCATCAGCCGCCACCACATCACCAATGATAACCACCAACCACCACAGAGTTCCTCCTCAAACTCACTTCTTCACAGCTAGAACTAGGGACCTCGGGTATGAATGCTTGTATCTTCACCAATTGAGCTACAATAAACTTATTAACATTTTATGTAAAATTATATATATATTATTCCTTTATATAAACAATTATCTATACATATATATATTATTAAAACATAAAAAATAAATTATATAATAATTTTAATTTTAACCATTTTTATGACAAAATCACTTTTAAATATTTGTGTTACTATGTATTTTATAATGTTTTATTTCTTCTAAAAATTATTTTTAATATAATATTAATTTCTAATGAAACTAATTTTGAATTTTAAATTGTAATAATTTTTTCATAAATATATTTCTAAAGTTTTTTTTTTGTAGAGTTTGGTGGTAAAAATTTAGAGCCCTCATCCTCTCCTTCTCTTCTTCTTCTCCTCTCTCTCTCTCTCTCTCTCTCTCTCTCTTTGTCGTTCTCTTTCCTCCTCCTTTCCTTCCTCTTCCTTCTCCTTCTCCCCCAACCCCACCCTCATTCCTCGATGCCACCACCACCTCCACCCCACTTCATTCATCCTCTCTTCTCTCTCTGTCATCTTCTTTGTTCTTATGTCTGCCTTCTTTGTCTTTGCATTATGCATAGTATGACATGACAAGCAAAGAGGTGTCGACTCCTCACTTGGGTGAAACAAAGGTTCTATCAATTAGGCAAAAGGAGGAATCATCATTGGCGGAGGCAGGGAAGGAATCATTGATGGTGAAGTCGAATATGGAATCAGCCAGGTTCTTGATTTGTGTAGGGTTGTTGAAGCTGTAAGTTTAGTCAACGATTCGGCCAAGTTTATCCGGGTTCTTGATTCGTGTAAGGGTTGCTTGTAAATATCGGTAAGCTAAACTTTTTAGTTTTCCCTATATTTTAAAATAGAAGGTGATATATGTCACTTGCAACTCTCTGTGTTAATGCTCTTAATTATCAATGAATACTACCTTTGCTCCTAAATATAAGAGCAAGTTAAAGGTTCTAAATATAAGACCTTAATCCTGTTTGTCTCTTAAATTTATAATGTGTTCTAAAAAAATACCCCTATTGATTATAAGATA